GGGGGGGGGGGGGGGGATCTCATAGGTTTGGTAATGAATGCAGCTCACAAGTGTGTGTGTGTGGGGGGGGTACCTTTTACCACCACAATGGAAAAGTTGCCAGATATCAAAAGGAGACATATAGCAACTTAGATTTCATTTAAATATAAGGAAAACTTCCTGACAGTAAGATCTCTACACAAGTGGAATTGTCTACTTATGGAAGTTGTAGGTTCTCCATCTCTGGAGGTTTTTAAGAAAAGGACATCTCTCAGGAATGGGTTTTCCTGCACATCACAAAGGCTTGGATTAGATCAATGTTTCTCAACCTTGGCTACTTTATGGCTGGCTGGGGAATTCTGGGAGTCCACCCATCTTAAAAGTGGCCAAGGTTGAGAAACACTGGACTTCTCGTGGTCCCTTCCAACTCCACAATTTTATGATTCTATGAAATGTTATGAAGTCTTCACTGTTTGACTGCGTTGAAGTGCCACCAAACCAGCATTCTACTCTTTATAGTGACCAACCAGACCTCTTTTACAAGGCTAAAAATAGGACAGGAGAGCATTACTGCTGTCCATTTGTTTTCCAAGAGCTGGTCACAGGAGAGACAATGAACTCTGAACCACCACAATTCCACCGAGCCACCATAATTAGCAGCCACGTATCCCATCTCTCCTCCCTCTTTTAAGATTTTTTTTTTTAATCCAGAATTTTTGGAACAAGCCAATTTGTGACCTGGTTCATTCAAAATACCAATCCATAATGGGTGACCCAAGCCACACGCATGGGGTCTGGTGGATGCCCCACACATTCATCTACAATCACTACAGTCTTGAAGAGATCTAGAGATTGCTAGCTTGGGTAAAACTTTAGGGCTCTGCAAGTCAAACACCTTCAATTGTGCCCATGGATGTCTAAAATGCTGTGTGGCCAAACTACTCAATCCTTAATAGTTCATTTTTTTTTTATCAGTTTGAAAATTCATGCAGTAAATCCTCAATTTAACAGACTATTGATGGGAAGGGATGTCTGTTAAAGCAGAAGATACTTGTTAGAAGAAATTCAAGTGGGCTTTTACACATGAGTATTTTACATATTTTATGATGATGCGCCATCAAGTCAATGTTGACTCTTAGTCACCACATAGACAGACCTTGTGCAGGAGGATTTGTCCCTAACCTGGTCCTTCAGGTCTCCCAATGATGCACCTATCAGTGCTGTAACTAAGTCCATCCACCTTGCTGTTGGTCATCCTCTTCTTCTCTTTCCTTCTACTTTTCTCAGCATTATGGACTTCTCAAGGGAACTGGGTCTTCACATAATATGTCCAAAATATATTAATTTGAGCCTGGTCACTTGTGCCTTGAGTGAAAACTCTGGCTTGACTTGTTCTAGAATCCATCTGTTTACATATTTTATACATGCATAAAATGAGTATGGACGACTTACTCTGTTGCTTCCATTATCTCAAGTGCTAGGCCAAAACCTTGGAGAGTTTGGGAAGCAGATTCTGAATTGTTCACCAATCATTTATGAGGGGAGGGAAGTGGAGAGGTGGACTATGTTTACCTCTCTCTCACCCAAGGATTGAAAAAAGACCTTAAGGCATACCTGAGTTTTCCCTTGCTGTCCGTATACAATTTTGGTGGGGATGATTTTGGTCGCTGGCTGGACACTGGAGCCAATTCCTTTCGGCTGCGTGACAATCATTTTCGTAATGGGCCGGGTGGCAGTGATGATGGCTGGTTTTGCTCCAGCTGGAACGGCTTGGATAGTTTTCTCACCCTGAGAACAACATTTGTTCAGAATCTTTTAATGCTCTAAGGCAGGGCTTTCAAACTCTGTTCTGCAGAACTCTAGAGTTTGGGGATGCAGCTAATGTTCTATGGATAGAGCTTTGCCTCTTGATCAGCAGTGCTGGGAATTTTTTTAAAAACAGGTTCTGCGGCCTGAAAAAAATTGAAAACCCTTGCCCTAACAAACCTAAGCAAGGCTAATTTAAAAAACGAACAACTATGCACCCAACAACATTGCACATTTGCTCAAGTCGCCTAAAATCACTTGTTCTGCAGACGTTTTCCAATAATCATCTGCAGAAGTAGAGACCATCAAAATGCTTCCAGAAGAGTCAAACATCAACCAAGCTCATTTTAATGTTGTTCTTTAAAAACCAAGCTTCTCGTCGTCTTTTTTTCAGAGGCAAAAAAACTAACCAAACAGAAAACAAAACCCAGATCCCAATATCAAATAAAAACTCATTTGATCTAACAAATAAAGTGCCCAGGATCTCAGGAGTCTACCAAACCTTACAAGACTTTGGTGTTTCTGCCTAAAACAAGAACAATAATATATTAAACTTGTATGCCACCCAACTCTGAATGACTCTGGGCAGCTTTTAAGTGATTTTAAGTGAGAGTACCCAAACAGGGCAATAGTGGGCAAATTTCTTCAGATTAATGCCCCAACCTTACTTAATTTTAGAAAACCATTAAAAGCAGTGTTGTACCAATGTGCCTTCAACCCTGGCTAACCATGGATGATCATCATAACTACTACTGCTACATTATTTTGTTTTGGGGACAATTTTTAGTTGTGAGAAATTCACTTTGATCACGCGGTCTCCTAGGTGGCATCTCGGGAGGGTGCTGACACTAGCCCCTGAGCACACAATAACATTTTATGGGCCACCAGCTGTTGATGCTGCTGTTCTCAGGCTGATGTGTACTTACCCCTGCGTTTAGCAACGTTGTGACTACATTTTTCCCTGGCAGACCTTGAATAGTGGTCCCCTTTCCTGCTGTTTTCTGCACGACTATGACATTGGGCTTAGAAGTAACTGGGATTGTAGTGATCTTGGTGGTAGTTCCTTGAGAGAAGAAAAATAGCAAAGACCACTGATTTGAAGGAGGAACGATGCTAATGGCTTTCTCCTGGCACATTACAGGGGCAATCACATACGAGAATACTGACTACAGCTCTCTCTTTTCTTAATGTGGGAATGGGGATGCATCAATGAGAACCCAGAACCACTTCCCCATTCAGTGCAATGGAGAGAACCAAACTGCTAAGTACTCCATTGCGTTCACACACTGATTTGTGTGTCTAATGGGGCTTCCCTGAACGCGTGCATCAGAATGCATGAATACTGTGGACTGGACGAATTTCCTCAGTCACGGACACCATCCCAATCTGAGTCAAGTTTCATGGTAATTGGGAAAAAAGGGACCAATGAATTAACTTTCAGCTTAAGATGACTCTTTTTTCTCCCCCCCCAGGGAGCAGAAAACATACTATGTTGTCTCAGTTGGCCTGGGATGAGTCTACTGTTTTGAGTTCTCCGAGATATACTAAGAAGATTATAACATCTGGAGTTGTTGTGACCCTCGGAAAGAAATCAGACAAATTATTCTAGAGCATTGCAAGTTTTGGATACCTTTTTGCTGAAAATAGGTCTTCATCAAGGAGTTACCTTAAAAAAAAAGTGAAAATAAAATAGCTTGGTCTACAAACAGTGGCATTTGCTTGGGAAACTGCCAGCTTGGGTGGGGAGTTTCATAGAAAGAACAGAGAGGTCATGAAAACTTGGCACTAATTACAACTGAGGGTTTGTTTTATTTTCATTAAATGGAAAGTCGGAGTTCAGCTCCTCTTCTACAGCGAGGCTTGCTTGACATCGCTGCACTCCCTTGCTTTTCAAACCTATTCTTCCCCAACTGTGCCACATCTTTGCAATCCTCATGATCACAACCCACCATGTTCTACACACCACTTCCTGACAATTGTTAAATGTGCATTTTGGGAGGTGCCCACCACAGGAAATATATGCAGAGAGGTATAAACTTATTCTGCAAATGTTCTGGTGGCATGCATCTGAAATGGGTGACCATATAAACCTAATAAATAAGTAAACAATGGCCTGCAGAAACCACTGATGGCCTGCAAGCCAGAACTCCTAACCAGTTTTTTCCTGGATTGTCGTGAACCAGAAATGAAATCTCCTACCCCTCAAAGGCAGAAGAGACAGCACCCACAAACCAAAGGCTCCCCACTGTAACAATGAACTAGGGTTTACGGTTATGGCAGCATGCAAAAGGGACTGTCACAGGAGCAGACATGGCTGGGAACAGGATTTTTGACTTTCAATCTGGGCAGACTTTGCATGATTAAAATTCATCCCTTAAAAGGCTTTTAGAGTTGTTAGAATTTGGCCTGTTGGCTTTCTGTCCAATTTATTTCTGAGCCGCAATGCCTCCAACTTCAGCCACTGGAAAGACTGTGGTAACTTTAACTCTCCCTGTCAAAGCTTCCTTTCATTTCCCATCAGGCAAGGTGAACCATTCCCCAGAACGAATGCGCAGAGGAAAGTATGTTCCAGCGAGCATTCCCATCCCCATTCCCATCCCCTAGGAAATGCACAATATAGAAACAGATAGCTTCTGCCTTAGGAGGCCAGATATGTCTTCCAATGAAGGCTCTAGGAACGACTAATTCCAGCCACTTTGTAAAAACTCTGCCATACAGGCTGACTCTCCTACTGCAGATAAGACAGATTGCACCAAGAGCAAGAGATTTTTTTAGGCACCCAACAGTGACCTCTCTGGTCACTACAGCACACGCTGTAATGCTCTTTTCTAAACCCCCTTCTGTGTCGGATTTCCACTGCCTTCCTTTTGCGCCTCTTTCTCATGGCTGAAGCTAAAACAGCAAACTCACGGCAAAATAAGCTGGGTCCATTGACCCACAGCTCTCTAAATTCCAGGGCTTGTCCCTGCTTTGTTTCCAATTAAACAGCGGCACGCGCCTACCTACCGGAAACAAGGTTGCTGCTGATAATCTTGCCTCCCAGTGTGGCAAGCGATTTGGGGACGACTGTGATGATGCTGCCGCTAGTGGTTTTCACGTAAGTGGCCGCACCTGGCGTGCCCGTCACCCGTGCCCCGATGGAAGGACTCACAGTTGGACGGGTGTAAGTCGCTTGAGTCCCTGGTTTAAGGGCAAAAAACAAACAAAAAACCAAACCAGAATAAGATATCCACTTATGGTCGGATTGCATGTCACGTGTAAAGACCAAGAGGAGATGTGCGTGGCCAAAACTTGCAAAAGGTGTGCTTTCCCTGCGCCTAAGCAATTTGACATTCCGTGGCCAAAAGTCACAACTGTGGAGAGATGGCAGAAGACAACTTCCACAACTGCACGGGTCTTCTAGAGCCCACAGACAGACAATATGCACGTCAGGATGAAGGCTACAGTGAACGTTCCTCTCTAACGTGCTAGAGCAGTGTTGTCCAAACTTGGCCACTTTAAGATGAGTGGACTTCAACTC